AGGATTAATTTTCTTTTTGTTAGGTCAATCGGGCTTTTGAGCGTGCACGCTAAAATAAGCGCCCTCCCTAGAAATATTGCAACACAGCAGCAGTCATGAGGTGGCCATGTCTGTCACCTCCTGCACCTCAAAAATAACAAGACTTCCCCAAAAATAAGACATGGTCTTATTTTTTTTGACCCCAAAATAAGCACTTGGCCTTATTTTTGGGGAAGTCTTGTTATTTTTGAGGTGCAGGAGGTGACAGACATGGCCACCTCATGACTGCTGCTGTGTTGCAATATTTCTAGGGAGGGCGCTTATTTTAGCGTGCACGCTCAAAAGCCCGATTGGACTTATCATAAGTATAATTATTCTTATTAAAAGTCAGCTGCCATGATACATAATTGCAAGATCGGTCGTGCTGTATAAGTATGTTCTATCAGTATGTTCTATCTTGCAGTGCTGTAGCATGGCAGCTGACCATTTTCTAGCAACCACTTTTTTTGTGTGTATCACTAAAAGATGCAGAACTTCTAAACCTGCACCCTGCCTTTTGCGCGGAAGGGTGAACCCAGCATGGGGGATGCACCGTTGTCTTTCCTGGAGGCTCCACGCTGCCTCCACGCTTGATTGAGGAATATGCGTGATTTAGCCTAGGGCTGTTCCTCTCTCATCTGTCTGAATCAGTATAAAACTTAGCAAATAATAACAACCTTTATGGCTGGAGAGAGAGAGAAGGTTGCAGGATCCCTGTGGGAAAGAAAAGAAGACAAACTTCTAAAGCTCTGCAATTTGTTTTGTTGCTTAAAAGTCTGCGAGAACACCCAGAATAGAATTTGGTTTTTCTGGGGGTAACATTTAGGATGAAAATCGGGAGGGAAAAAAGACGGATTTACCGTGGTATCCATCACCTCTTAGGCTACAGACAAAGGTTAGTGTCGCAATCATTAACATAAATCATTAATTTATTTTCATGGTTGGCCTAATTGCTTTGTGGATCAAACATAGCAAAACATAGCAAGTTTTTGAGGGGAAATGGCCTCAGCGCTTGGTTTGAACTGGGAAGAGTTGTGTGTCATTTTTTTTTAACTAGAACATTGTAGTTACTTATTTCTGGTTCGGGGTTTGGATACTTGTTGTTTTAGTCACAGTTAACAAGTGGAGATGGCCTGCCTTGTTGTCTTCTTTCTTTCTTTCTTTCTTTCTTTCTTTCTTTCTTTCTTTCTTTCTTNCCCAAGCATAGTTTCTCGCCTCCTCCTTCTAAGCCCGAAGGAGAGGTAAACAAACTGCTAAACAGTTTGATGGATTGCTGTTTAGACAGTTTAACACAGCCAAGATTCGGGAGCTGTTAAAAACAACAACTCCCTGTCAGGTCCCGCCCACCGGAAGCCCACCATCATTCTCTTATATAGGAGAAGAGAAGGAACTAGGTCCTGTATACCTGAGACGTATCCTATTAGTGTAAAGCTATCAAAGACTTTTCAAGTATTAAAGCCAATCAGGTGTGAGAGTGTTATTGATCTGAGGATTTTATTGTTAAAACTGATCAAAACATCAAAAACCTTGAGAATTTCTTAAAATCCTAAATCACTGAATTAATTCAATATAGAGAATTTCCCCATACTTTCTTTTAGCAAATATGGCACTGCATGGAGGGCAGCAATGTAGACTTTCAGTGATGGGGTTTAGCAAAGATCTCTATCCTTTGTGTTTTTCTAATATTACTCTATTATTATGCTTACTCTGAAATTACCCTCAAATTCGGAATCCTTATCATACACATACATTTTCGCTGGCACTACTACTAGTAATAATTAATACCTAGCAGTGTACTTTAACTCATGTGAGTGCACTAGTATTAATTCTCATCTCATTTATATTAAATATTTTACAGTCAGAGATACTGTAAATAATTGAAATTAAATAAAATATATAAAAGGTTGAAAAGAAGATATAAATATGTTTAGAAGTCTTTCAAATTTCTTTATTCCTTTATTTTTCCTAATTGTACTTCTGTATGTCAGGTAGGCATTGATTTTATAAGATTTATAGCAAACACATCCATCACATGAATGGACAACTTTGCATTTCATAAATATTAAGACAGCATTTGGAAACTAAAACAGTAAACTATTTTACTGGGATTCAGAGGAAAAGAGAAAGGAAAAAGGTTATTTGCAGTTTTAACACAATCTTAGCTGGCAGCTTCATTTTAGTACACTGAAACTCTTGTTTAGATGCTTTGACAATATTGTACTTGACAGGTGACTCCACTAAGAACACAGTGTACCACAATTTACTGGTCTTTGTCTTTGGAGGTTCAAAACACCGTATCAGAATTAAAGACCATCATAGATAATTTCTTCATATACTTCTGTTTATGAACATCATCTATATGTGTGGGATAACATTCTTGTTGACTGTAAATCAAGTCACATAAATATAACCAATGACCAATGAAGACATATATTTTATAAACTAAAGAGATAGCAAAAATGAGTACCTGGATAAACAGAAGAAAATGCTTCAATAATATGTTAATGAGATTTATATTGTATATTTATATATCTAGAAGAAACCATGCATTAATTATTCTACAAAAGCTAGGATGTAATCGGGCTATACATTTACATTCTGAAACTGGGATATAATTGGCTCCTCCCTCATTTCAAGTACTTACAACTTAGCTTAGAGAAAAAGGATGAAATCTGATTTTTAATGGATTTTTTTCTTCAAATAAATTGTACTCTCATCATGCATTTTCCTTCTACTTACAGTCTAATACTCCTCTTTTCCTGGTTTGGAATATTATAACCTGACTCAGTGTAATGCTTAGCATTCTCATTTCAAATTTATTACAGTGAGAGATAGGAATGCTCCATATTTTCTACGACCTGACCTAAATTGATTTCTTGTGTTAGAGAAATAGATGCAAAGAATTTTTTAACTGGAACGGTTTTTTTTCTTTTTGGAAAAAATGTCATGTCATTAATCCTATTCAAATTCATAAGCATGTGAAAAAAGATACAGAATAAAAATACCATTTTCAAAAGCAATGCTGTAAAATGTTCAACTCAATACTAAGGAATTTTAAGTGATGATGTAGGGCATAAAGAGGAGCCACTAATTATTTTTTCAGGAAAGCAACACAAAACATCATCTTTAACCCATCCCCAGCCTACTGTGAAGACATATTTTCTTGCTGTGTGTCTAAAGCAGTATTTCCTCAATTCTGCCAGCATAAGCCATGCCAAGTGGTTTGTCTGCTTTATTTCATTTCATTCTTTCATGGCACTTGTTAATTTTGGATACCAGGGTGAAACTGGGAAAAGTTCTACAAGTGACGGAAAGAACAGTGGAGGGGGGAAAGTGACACCCCCCCCCCACCCAACACACACACTGGAGTGAAGTTGACAAATGTTTTACAGTTTCTACTTCTAGCTGAGGTGATACCAAGAATTGTAAAAAAGTAGTTTTTCTCATTTCCCAGTGCTTTGGAGAATGCTCAACAAGAGCAAGCAATTCCTGCTTTACAGTTGGACAAGACCTCTAAGGCTCTTCCAGCAATATTATTCAATGATTGTTGGATGTTTGTTCATGCAAACAGAAACTATGTGTTCTTAGAATCAACTCTTTTAAGAAAGGAAAGTGATTGGTTCTTGCTTTCCAGGAATGGGTGGGAAATAAACAGAATCAGGAAAATCTACTAATTGGGACGTGATAACTGTCAGCCAAAGTTTGAAATCCATATGACATTTTCTTAAGATGGTTTGATTTCCAGGCAACATTACAAGAGTCAAGCAGTTTAAGATTGCAGGTGAAATTGCTCCTAGCTGAATTCTGCTTTTCAATTTACTAGAACAAATAGTACATGGAACAAAATTTAAGATGAATTTCTTAAATTCATTTTCTTGGATTTTAAAGTACATGTGTAAATTATAAAATCTTTAGGTTTAATTTTTCTGTTTTTTCAAATGATTGAAATTAAAGCCACTGAATAACAAATAGTACTGAAGATCCCAATTTCCTAATCAGTCTAAAATATTCTGCACTCAACTTTTCTACTTCCTAATTTTGTTACTCCTGAACATTCAATTATAAAAACAGATTATACTAGTATCAAAATATATTGAAATGCATAGCCTCATTATAACTTCTACTACGGTAACATTCAAAATTCAGATTGTCCATATGAAGTTTCTAGCATCTTCTGAAAAGTAGCACATTGTTTGGGTATTTCTTTTACTTAACCGGTATATTTTTACTCCTGGATAGGCTGGTGGTTAGCCATTCAGAGTCACTGTGATTCAAAAGGTATACAAGCTGAAGTAATATATAAGTAACATTTTAAGGATACAAATGCTACATTTAAGCCACCAAGTTGATAAGTTCAGGCTTTTATGATATCTTCTTATAGAATTGATCTGTAGGAAATGTTTGTCTACTAACCTCTTCCCATTGTACAGTATTTTCATAGGAGCATAAATTTCACAAAAATGGCAATGTACCATTAAGTAATACTTCAGTTTACACACACACAAGTCATTTCATTGAACGTTCAGCCCATGGAATCAAAAGAAGATTTATTATACAATGTCTTTTTAATTAACCCTCAGCTGGATTTATGTTTGAGGTTTGACTATTTTCCCAGATGAATTCATGTAACAATTTACATTGGTTTTTTTAATTAATCAGATCTGAATTTCCAGAATAAAGATAATTTGAAAGAAAAGAAGAAAAGAAATATCCCAGCGTTTGTATGAGAATTTCTTGATATGTATAAATAAATGCTCTTACAAATATTTATCACATTCTATTATATAGTGTTGACTGTTTTTTTTTGAAAGAATGAACTAAATACATGTTAAAAGCGATTGTGAAACAATATATCTGCTTATGACAATACTGTAGCTATTATTATGGCTAATATACACAAATCAGTTATACAATATCCACAAAGAGTATTCTATTAGAGTTAATTAGAATAACTATGCATCTTATTTTCCAATTAAGATGTAGCCTACTCATGAAGCAGTATAGAATTTTAAGTGCTATTGCTATTTATCTATAATGTTCATCACCTCCTTATATTCGAAGTTTATTAAAAACAACTTTACTAGTAGGAATATTATATGTAATTAAGATGTTCATTTGGACAATGAGTTCTGTTTGCTTTGGACAATAAAAAGAACCCATTGTACCAGTGTTTTTCAACCTGGGCAGCTTGAAGATGAGTGGACTTCCAATTCCCAGAATTCCGGAGCCATTCAATTCTGGGAGTTGAAATCCATCCATCTTCACGTTACCCAGGTTGAGAAACACTGCATTACAACATAAAGTGCTTCGACACTGTAATGAGCAATTGTTAAAAATACTGCTGAGCATTAAGAAAACAAATTTTTGTTTGCTTAAAACAATTGCATTATATGCTACTTTCAGAATGGAGCCTTAAAGTTAATTATTTCTTCTTGGTCATTTGGGGCAATTTATTGGGCCGTTTCTTTTTATCCACTTGAAAAGTAATATCTGTGCAATATTATACTGTTAGGCTATTTATACTGTCACACACAAATATTCCCATACTCAATCCTGTTTATCAACCACTACTATGACATAAAGCAAAATAAAAATAATTCTCTCAAAGAAACTTGCAATACTATTGTATTATAGTACTGTTTAGTCAAGGTTTCAAGGATAAAGAAACCTATGTATCAAACATCAATTATCTGAATTTACATATGACATACAAAGCCTAACATCATTCCCTGAAAGATCTGTTAGTGCCATTTAGTAGCTTCTGGCGTTCACTCATCAGCTGACTCCTCCTGGTATCATTCTCACCTGGTATCTGTCAGAGTGATGAATATCATCTGAGGAATGGGGTGATACTGTTGGAGAATCTCCTTCCCGCTTGATAGAGGCTGACAACAAAATCGACTGCAGGAAAAGAAGGGGAAAGCAGTTAAGAATGCAGAGGGAAAATGGAGCAGGCGATGTGATATGCAGTAGCAATAATTAAGAAAGCCATGATTAAGTCAACTATGGGTTAGTGGGTCATGTAAAGCCAGCCTATCATCCTTGGTTCTCTCTTGTAATAGTTTGCATAAACTTTTATTGACAGAATGATAAGAATGGAGCATGCCTCTTTTTTAAAATTCTTCAAGCAATTTTTCTTGTATGTATTATTTGTAGGGACTGTTTGTGTTCAGGGTAGACATTTTTATAGTATTTAATTCTTTAAAATAGGAGCCCATATCCGAAGAACAACAACTAAAATGATGAGACAGAGATAATCAATGGCAGTTCCATGCTAAAATGGCTACATTTTTATCAGTGGTGGGATTCAAAATTTTTTACTACTGGTTCTGTGGGTGTGGCTTGGTGGGTGTGGTGTGGCTTGGTGGGCATGGCAGGGGAAGGATACTGTAAAATCGCCATTCCCTCCCAACTCCAAAGGAAGGTTACTGCAAAATCCCCATTTCCTTTTGATCTGGGACTCGGGAGGCAGAGGCAGAGAATAGATGGGATGGGGCCAGTCAGAGGTGGTATTTACTGGTTCTCTGAACTACTCAAAATTTCTGCTACCAGTTCTCCAGAACTGGTNCTAACGTGGACAATGGATCCAAACTGCTTTACAGAATATGCAAAACATATACAGAAACATGCACCAAAAATCTGGAGTCCACCTGCTTTTCTCTCAATTTTTCTAGGAAAGAAAAGAACTAATTCAATCTTTCTCTTCCACAGCTCCACGCCCTGTCACACACAATTCTATGGCAAAGTATCATTTCCCTGTTGAAAAGCAGAGCAACAGATTTGTCCAAGTGCCAGTGAGACATCATATTTCTCTCTCTCCTTTAAATCATCCATCTGCTGGGTAAAGGCACTCTCTACTGAGACTATAAAACCCTAAGAGGATCAGCCTGAGCATTACACCTGGGGCAAGCTAAATAAAAAAAAGGTCACCAGTGCTTTTTAAACATGGACAAAAAAGCAGTAAAATGTGTTTTGGGGAAAAAAATCTGGCATTAAATCATGACTTTTTGCCTGGCTCGCCTCATTAAAAATGGCCTTTTGGAAAGTAAAATTATCATTGTAAGTGATAAGATCTTTAAGAAAATAATTCATGGCTTCTTCACCCTTTAATATGATAGCCGCCATCGGCTAATTTTTTTCTTAATGGCAACGAGGCTATCAATCTTGTCCAAAGCTTCCTTTCATCTTTGCTTCTCTCCCCTGCCACCTTTCCAAATAACCATAGTCTCTGTTGCTCATAGAAGTAACTATCTTTTCTGCTTCTGCACTAATGGTTTCCAATTCGATGAATCCCCCTCTGAATCATAAGCTAAGCATAAATGCTCAGTTACAACATTACACGACAAATTGAAATTAGGGTGCACTTTGTTCTGCAAAGTTGGCAATTAAATAATAGAACAAGATTGCCCAGAGAGATAGTAAATTCTCAATCATGTGTATTCTTAAACTGCAGCTTTAGTCAATCATAAATAGCTGTTGTTAGTTGCGAAGTCATGTCCGACCCATTGCGACCCCATGGACAACGTTGCTCCAGGCCTTCCTGTCCTCTACCATCCCCTGGAGTCCATTTAATTTCACGCCAACTGCTTCAGTGATTCCATCCAGTCATCTCATTCTCTGTCGTCCTCTTCTTCTTTTGCCCTCAATCGTTCCCAGCATTAGGCTCTTCTCCAGTGAGTCCTTCCTTCTCATTAGNGGAAGGTTACTGCAAAATCCCCATTTCCTTTTGATCTGGGACTCGGGAGGCAGAGGCAGAGAATAGATGGGATGGGGCCAGTCAGAGGTGGTATTTACTGGTTCTCTGAACTACTCAAAATTTCTGCTACCAGTTCTCCAGAACTGGTAAGAACCTGCTGAATACCACTTCTGATTTTTATCCACTGTAGTTAAATAGTTGTAAGAATACTAGCAAGATATCCAAACAGGTAAAAAGAAACTAATTTTTTCCTCATATGAATGAAAATTCCTTAGCAAATGTATTCAAATAATATAAATTCAACAATGAATAGGCAGACCAAGAACTTCTACAAATTATTTCAGAAATGACAATATTACATAGTTATACAATCTCTCATTAATATTCTAAAATCTCCCAGATATTAGGAAGTTTCTCTTATTTTTACAGCAGATTAAGAAAGTGTAAGAGTTAGCAATATAATGGTATTTGTGAAAGTTATCAGTGCCTTGTAGACTTCAGGGCAGGGAAATATAAATTCCTTCTATTAAAGTATAAAGTTTTATGAGAAATAACAATATTTTGACAATACAGTAGTTCTCAACTTAGGACAGGTCATTTAATGACAGTTCAAAGTTACAATGGACTTTTAAAAAGCTACCTATGTTACAGGTGCTGTCCCTCCTCTGTGGTCATGTGATTACATTTTAGGTGCTTGGCAACTGGCTCACATTTATGATTGGGTGCCATATGCCATAGTCACCTGATGGTGATTTGCATTTTTTTGACAGTTTCCAGCAAAAGCCATCCATTCTGAATAACTGTGACGCTCACTTTATAATCATTGTAAAAATGGTCATAAAATCAACTCTGCCCATGTGATGCCTTGATATTGTCTATGACCACAACCAGTTATAACCAAAATTCTGGGCTCCACTGTGGATTGAAAGTACCTGTAGTTCAAAGAAATATATTCAATGAAAGTAAACATTGTTAATATCATCTCAGGAATACTGGCTATATACACATGAACTGGTAACCTTTATGTCAAAATGAATGCAAGGTCACAAATTATTAAATATAATCTGATAATAATATCAGTTTTATTTTATACACATACAGTATACTGTATATTTTTTAGGTGCAATGAAAAACCACGTCCACGTGTGATGGTTCGATTTAACTGATTTATTGCTAAAAACTATGCAAAGGATCTTAACTAGCAATCAGCATCTAGCTAGAGTTATATAAGGGCCCAGAGCGTTCAAGGGGGGTTGGAGGTTTGAGTCCCTGGATAAAAACTCGGATACAAATGTAGCAGATAAATAATTTTGAAGTAATCCCAAACTCAACTAACTCATTACGTATACTCAACATATGCATGTATTCAATAATGCATAATTAAAGCTTTCTTTGTGTTGAATTGAACTCCCATTGAGCACCTGATCACATAGAAACACTTCAATACAAAATTTTGGCTGAATTCATGGTAGCTGAAAAGATTACCATTAGAAATAAAATGAGTGTCTAGTTTACAGGAAATGTTGTTTTGCCTCAAAGTTTCACATTATTATTATTTGTTAAGAAAATGTATATAGCCATCCAACACACAGTCACTCCAAGCAGCTTACAGAAATAATACCCTAAATAGAAAACCTAATAAATCCCCACCCAAATTTGTTTACAATATGTAAATTTGACATATTGTCATTGCTGAAAATGGGCTTGGCACTTTCTTATAACAGGTATAAAATACATATTAAATAAATTAGAGGAAAATGATCATTTAGGGAGCAAATGCTGTACTCGAATCTGTAGAATTAGAATAACCTGCAGCTTTTAAGCTGTACGTGCCTTTTCTGCTCTACTGCCATTTCATGCTATTGAAATTTAGTTTCAAAATGACAAAATTTCAGGAGCTTATTTCAAGTAGTTTGGCAGGGGCTAGTACCCCAATATCCTCCCCAGCAAAAATTTTTTGATCAGTTCTGCCCTTTCCAATGACATTATAATATTACTGAATAGCTTCTGGCAGCCCTTTGGAAGGTCAAAAGGCTGAATTTCAACCAGTGACCCTTCAAATTTTCCCATCCTTACTTTATAAAATTACATATTGTAGATAATCCTTTGCCTTATTTTTTATCAGAAGGAATTGCCACACTGCAAATATTATTTCAACAAATCCTGTTCCCTGTATATTAATGGGCTGCATGCGTATTCTGAGATCTACAGGACTATTGGTTGCATTATAACTCCCTTTTTCTTCTTGTAGTAACCTGATAGAAAGTGTTAAAGGTAACTTAGCTTTCAATTTGCTTCAGTAAAGATATAAAAATATGAAAGTCAACCTTTCAGCTCTACTTTCTATCTGCACAGCTTCTCAGAACCTCCATCAAATTCCAACAGCCAGTCTGCTGGCTCCCCATCCATCCATGCAACTAGTTCTAATTCAATATGATTATGTGAAAAATGGCTATACTAGCTATGGAGACAGTAAATTAAACATTATGTATTACTTTTTATCATGTGGTCCCAAGAAGAATGCTAGCGCCATTTATTTTACAAACCTCCAGAACGCCATGACAACAACCTCTGGGAAAAATGCAAGGCTAAACTAATCCCAAAGATGTCAATCTTAGACCTTCTACATACACGCTCGATTAAGATGAATAAACCACCTCTTAAAATTGTAGCAAGCAGCTATATTCTAAATACCTCTGCAGCGTGTTAAATACCATATCAGGGAATTGAGCTCTTGCTATCACATCAACCTAAACTTTCACTAAGATGGAGAAAAACGTCTTCATTTAGGCAATGTCAGAAGAATATACAAGGTTATGGGGGGAATTGGGAAGCGGAAAAAAGCAGTAGCAGACGTTTTAGGGTTGTACACCCTCAGTTTTAAGTTCCCATCTTGCTATTGTTCACAATATTTGCATCTAATTGTTGAGTGTGGATTGGATTCACACAAGGATATTCATTTCAACTCAAATGGATCAACTAAGGACATTAACGGAGAGAGGACATTAAATTAGGAAAATGTAGACATGGAGTCAACACCAAGTTGCAGATTTAAAAATACTGTCTATCTTTAAGGCACTTTTTCTGAATTCCACATCAAAGGAAATGAGATACTCTAGCTTCCCTATCAGCCTTACCAAATGGACCAGAAATGTAACTAGATAAGCAAATTCTACTTTATTGTAAGACTAAAGTAACATAGTCT